ATTTATCAACAGATAATTCAGTTAATAAGAACTTCTGTAGTTGATCAACACAATGTGCTGTGCGTAGTTGTTCAGTTGTGTCTGACTCTTTGCACCCCTATGAACTGTAGCCCGCCAGGCTCCTCTGTCCATGGGGATTCTCCATGCAAGAATACTTGGAGTGGGTTGCCGTGCCCTCCTCCAGGGGATCTTCCCCACCCAAGGGTCGAACCCAGGTCTCCCACACTGCAGGCAGATTCTTTACCATCTGAGCCACCATTCTTTGTGTGTGTGTGGTAAAAAAAAAAAAATACACAACATGAAATCCACCCTCTTTACAAATGTTTCAGGGTACAATACAGTATTGTTAACTGCATGCACATTGCTACTCTTAACAATGGTTCCGAGGTTTTGAGTCAATCGTTGTGTCTTCAAAGGAGAATCTAATTTTCCTTAGTAAAGTGATTTTTTAATGAATTTTCTTAAAATTAGTAATAGCCTAAACCAGATAGCTTAAAGTAGCATATTCTGACTGGTGATCTAAATTAAAAGGAAAATAAGCTACTATATATAAAATAAACAACAATATCTTACTATATGGCACAGGAAACTATAGTCAATATCCAGTAATAAACCATGAAGAAAAAGAACAGGAAAAAAGTGCATGCATATGTATGTATAAGTGAATCACTTTGCTGTATACCAAAAGTAACATAGTGAATCAGCTATACTTCAATAATAAATAAATTTTTTAAAATCAATAAATATATATTTATTTACAGCAAAAATGTATCACCTTCAATTAATTTGTGTAAAAAGCAAATGAATCGAGATGAAGAATGGATCTTCAGGGCCAAACAATTTGAATGAATATGGCTATTTGGTTACATGTTTAATAAACAGGATCATCAGTAGGATGGCCTATTTCCAAGGTCAAGGAGGCAAATGGGGTCAAAAAAGAGGAGCTGAGTTTGCAGATCCAGGAAGCAAAAGCTGAGCTCTGTGGTGAGGGAGGAACAGGGAACTAAAGAGTGAAATCACCGAAGAGAAACTCCTTGACTTTATGATATGAATCAAATAGCTTTGTGCCTTACCTATTGAAGGGAATGTCAGGTAGAGACAGGATTGGTTTAATTTAAACAAGAGAAACTTCTTAGAGATATTTTAGACCCTATCATTGCAAACTGAGACAATATGCTGAGTCCTTATGATCCAGTACAAAGCTCGTCCTTTCTACCCAGAGCACAACTGACTACAGACATCCCATACAGCTAATGTTATTACTGTCTCAACTCAATCCATTCCTGTTGGATAAATATTCCATAATAGGCCAGTACTCTTTGTGTAATGATTTATTCAAATACTTGTCTAAAACTTACAATTAAGGATCCCATAGTTATCACTTCCTTTAACTGTATACAGTGGATGACTCCCTGGGCCAATTCTTTTTCCTTTATAAGGGTTCCTTGTCCTTCTATTTTAACAGCAGGGGACACCTGTCTAGAGAATCATGGGCTTCCCTGGTGGCTCAAATGGTAAAGAATCTGCCTGCAATGCAGGCGACCCAGATTCCAACCCTGGGTCAGGAAGACCCCCTGCAGAAGGGAATGGCTTCCAACTCTAATATTCTTACCTGGAGAGTTCCAGGGACAGAGGAGCCTGATAGGCTACAGTCCACGGGTGGCAAAGAGTCAGACATGACTGAGTGACTGTCACTTTCCTGTCTAGAGAAACTTGCTCATTTGTCATAATTAATCTTCATCAAAAAGACTCTTGCAGAGTCTGACAGTATGGGGGATTGTTTTTTGTAATACACAAAATAGATATAAAAACACAAAAGAAACAGAGCAACTTTCAGGGCAACTTTCAAAGCCTTAAAGGAAGGACTTTCTTGGTGGTCCAGGGACTTAGACTTTACTCTCCCAGTGCAGGAGGCCTGGGTTCGATCCCTAGTCAGGGAACTATAGCTCACATGCTGCAGCTAAGAGTTCGCGTGCTGCAACTAAAGTTCCCACAGGATGCAACTGAAAGATCCTGCATGCTGCAATGAAGATCAAAGATCCCTGTGCCACAACTAAGACCAGTGCAGCCAAATAAATAAATAAGCCTACAAAAATTAAAGGAGAAGAGATCTTTTTTTGGTGGGGGGAGGACTTGCCCTACAGCCGGCGGGGTCTTAGTTTCCCAACCAAGGGTGGAACCAGTGCCCTCGGCAGTGAGAGCAAGGGGTCTTAACCACTGGATCACTAAGAAAATCCCCCAAAACATCTTTAATATCCAAATACTACAACCAAACCGTGTGTATCCTCTGTCCATTGTTGTTCCGTTGCTCCCTCATGTCTGACTCTTTGTGACCCCGTGGACTGCAGCACTCCAGGCTTCCCTGTCCTTCACTATCTCCCTGAGTTTGCTCAAGCTCATGTCCATTGAGTCAGCAATGCCATCCAACCATTTCATCCTCTGTCAACCCATCTCCTCCCACCTTCAATCTTTCCCAGCATTAGGGTCTTTTCAAATGAGTCACTTCTTTGAATCAGGTGGCCAGAGTATTGGAGTTTCAGCTTCAGCATCAGTCCTTCCAGTGAATATTCAGGGTTGATTTCCTTTAGGATTGACTGGTTGGATCTCCTTGCAGTCCGAGGGATTCTCAGGGGTCTTGTCCAGAGCCACAGTTCAAGAGCATCAGTTGCCAGATAATTAGGTCATTAAGATCCAGAGAAATGACTATTTTGTTGTAAGGTTCTGATGTGACATTCACAGATAGGTCTGTGATAAGGGGGGAAAAATCAGCAAATTTGTTATTAGAGTTTATGATGAGTCTTTGTTCACACTTCAGTTTTCATGTCACTGTGTCCATGAGAGTAATATGGACCAAGCACTGGGGGTGGGAATGGAAGCGGGACCTCCCTGATTTTCAGGTGTGGCTCTGGATGCTTCTAGTCTCCATCATTCCTTAGGGAGGAGATCAAGGACCCAGGTGTGAGGTCTGGCCGAGAGAGCCTGTTGATACTCTGAAAGCTGATGTCTTTCACAAACCCTGGTGCCCTTTAAAAACATGACTCTGCTTCCCGGACAATCCTTTCTTATAAAAATCATCTATCTTAAAAGGTTTCTCACTTGCCTAATTCACGCCTACTTATAACCCTGAAAAATTTTTGATGTTGGCCTTTGGTGGAGCATGGTAGGATATGTAATAAAAATAAAATTTGTTTTCCTCCCACCAATGCTATGAAGCAACTACTATAAACAGTATGTTACATTAATAATATGTTACATTTAGAAAGCAGACTATACAATATCAGCACAGTATATTTTCAGTTGCATGTTTAAAATATTCATGCACAGAGGGGAAAAAAAAACCAACATAGGGCATATACCAAAGTGTTTATAGTGTTAATCTGGGAAGTGGGATTGTGGGTGTATTTCTCTCCTTCATTTTTGTTTTTTTCTTTTCTGTATTTTCTAAGTGTATAATGATAAACATGTATTAATTTGAAAGGGGTAACATTTTAAGATTGGTTTCCAAGTGCTTTACCAGTTGAAAACCCTGACAAATTTTGAGGAAACATGTTAAAAGTCTAGGCTGTTCTGTCTCACATTGCAGCCATTGTAGCCGCTGGTCCCAAGTGTTAATTATATTTATATTATTTAAAGGAAAATTAATTTATTCACCATTTAATTATTCAGTCATATTTGCTGCATTTCAAGTTTCAGTATCCACATTTTCATCGTACAGAAAGTTCTATTCCACAGTCCAGATGGAGACAAGTTAGCAAACTATGCCAGTTACCAAACTGTGCCAATTTGCAGTGGCAAAGGGCAAAGGAATGGTCCTCTTTATTACTTATTATTATTACAGTGTCACTCATTATAGACACTGGCAGAGTCCTCATCCTAAGTCCCTTTATATACTTCAGTAGTCTTTGGCCCAGTGAGCTAGAGATTTCTCCCATAGTCATCTGGGTGTTGTGGCAAGGTTGGGAACCCAGAGCAACTCACTCCTGTTGCATAACTGTTACCTCCTTATCATTGTGACCATCTTCTCCAGAAAACTAAATCTTCCCAAGGTGTACTTCAGTTCAGTATCATTTCATAGACATTTTTGAAAGCTTACAATGTGATAGACACGGTAATAAGCCTTGAATGTGAAAAACCAGAGACTTGCCTTGTGGCTCAAACAGTAAAGAATCAGCTTGCAATGCAGGAAACCCAGGTTCAATCCCTGGGTTGGGAAGATCCCCTGGAGAAGGGAATGGCTACCCACTCCAGTATTCTTGGCTGGAGAAAAACTAAGTAAGAGACGTTTCCGCTATTCCTAAAGTGTAACAAGGTGTTAAAAACAGGGCATGCTACATAGATTGACAGCACCAAGTAGGGACAGGTCTGTTCTTGGAAAATCTTGCAATGCTTCCTCCACCTAGTTATGCTTGAGTCTTGACATTAGAACATCCTCCAGACTCTCAAATTTACACTTCAATAGCCTCCATGTTCTTCATACTCCAGAAGAAAAGAGATTAACTCCACTTTTGAACCTGATCTAATTTTTTTTTTAAACTTCACTTGAAAGAGTTAGGTATATTCAACTCTTTTAATTTGAACTTACTTTCTCATTTTGGGGCCAGGTTCTATACTTGTAAAATATTTTTAAACCTTCTTTATTTTTCTTTATTTTTATTTTTTTTATTAGCTGGAAGCTAATTACTTCACAATATTGTAGTGGTTCTTGTCATACATTGACATGAATCAGCCATGGAGTTACATGTATTCCCCATCCCGATCCCCCCTCCCACCTCCCTCTCCACCCGATCCCTCTGGGTCTTCCCAGTGCACCAGGAACCTTCAAGTGAAATAAAATACTCCTTTAAGACTGAGTCATCCATTCCATTTTGAACTATGTAAAAGCGAACACCAAGTTTGAATGAGTGATCATTTTTCAGCCAGTCATGTGGGAAGTGTTGCAACACAGGTTAGAAGCTGGAGTTCCCAGTTCTCCAATCAATCATGTTCCTATATTTTAACAGATGCCATGCTCTTGGTGGCAGAGCGACTGGAAGGACCATTCAACATTGAGTCAGTCATGGACCCAATAGACGTCAAGATCTCTGAAGCCATTATGAACATGCAGGAAAACAGCATGCAGGTGTCTGCAAAGGTATTTGCCTTAGCCATTTATCTAATAAGCAAAGGGGAGTCATCTGAAAATGTAATGGATACTGGCTGGGATGGTAAACTCTAATATGTTGTCCATGAGATTTTCCTGTCCCATGACAAATTTGCTACTTCATTAAAACTGTCTAACAAAATGGCATTGAGAAAGGAAGTAAGCTTTTCCTTTGCAGGTCCTCAATCATGAAGAAATTATTGGCTGCTAAAAAGTTTTAGAGAGCCCCAAGTATATTCACTAATCCCTCACATTTGTGAGCAATTTGGGGAGAATTTTCTTTTTAATGGTTGCAATTTCTGCACACCCTCACCCTATTCTCTCTCTCTAGGAACTTCTAATTATGTCCTCAGCTGCGCAAACCAGGCAAATGTTCTCTATGTTCACTCGTAAATTATTTAAACATTCCATCTGACTTCCTTTTTTTAAGACGATAATGTAACCCTCGTTAATGAATCGTCAGAGGAAAATGCTGCTTTGTATAAAGTCAAACACACATTTTTAAAAAATAGTAAGTTTTTATAAATCAAGCAAGACAGATTCGGGGTTTTTAGCTGCAGAACACAAATATCAAGTGCCCAATTTTTTAAATTTTTAGAAAAATTTGATTGGAGTATAGTTGATTTACAATGTTGTGTTAGTTTCAGGTGCAGCCAAATAAATCAGTCATATTTATGCATATATCCACTCTTTTTAAAATTCTTTTTCCACATAGGCCATTACAGAGAATTGAGTGTATAGAGTTCCCTGTGCTCTACACTAGGTCCTTATTAGTTATCTATTTTATATATAGTATTATGTGTGTGGCCATCCCAATCTTCTAATTTATCCCTCTAACCTCCTGTAACCAGAAGTTTGTTTTCTACATCTGTCACTTTATTTCTGATTTGTAGATAAGTTCACTTGTCCTCTTTTTTCAGAATCCACATATAAGTGATATCCTATGATATTTGTCTCTCTCTGTCTGACTTACTTTACTCAGTATGACAATCTCCAGGTCCATCCATGTTGCCGCAAATGGCATTATTTCATTTTTATTATTTCGTTCATTAATTTGTTCTTTTTTATGGCTGAGCAATATGCCACTGTATATAAGTACCACCTCTTCTTTATTCATTCCTCTGTTGATGGACATTTAAGTTGCTTCCATGCCCTCAGAATGGGAGAAAATATTTGCAAGCAAAGCAACTGACAAGGGATTAATCTCCAAAATATACAAACAGCTTATACAGCTCAATATAAAAAAGAAACAAATAACCCAATCAAAAAGTGGGTGGAAGATCTAAATAAACCTTTCTCCAAAGAAGTCATACAGGCCAGTAGGCACCTGAAAAGGTGCTCAATGGTACTCATTATTAGAGAAATGCAAATCAAAATAACAGTGAAGTATCACCTTATATTAGTCAGAATGGTCATTATCAAAAAATCTACAAACAATAAATGCTGGAGAGGGTGTAGAGAAAAGTAAACCCTCCTACACTGTTGGTGGGAATTGAACCTGATATAGCCACTATGGAGAACAGTATATGTGTGTGTGTGTGTGTGTGTGCGCGCGCACGCGCGCCTGTGTGTGCTCAGTCGTGTCCGACTCTCTGCAACCCCCTGAACTATAGCCTGCCAAGCACCTCTGTCCATAGGACTTTCCAGGTAAGACTACTGGAGTGGGTTGCTATTTCTTTCTCCAGGGGATCTTCCAGGGATCAAATCCGTGTCTCCTGTGTCTCCTGCATTAGAGGGCAGGTTCTTTACCACTGAGCCACCTGAGAAGCCCTCAGAGAACAGTATAGAGATTCCTTAAAAAACTAAAAATATAGCAACCATATGACCCAGCAATCCCACTCAAGGGCATATATTCAGAGAAAACCATAATTCGAAAAGATATGTGTACCCCAATGGTCATTGCAGCACTGTTTACAATAGCCAGGAAATGGAAGTGCACAATTTTTATTTATCCCCACCCAGTTGAAAACAAATAGGACCCACCTTAAGCAAAATTTAAAAGTTTGAAATGAGTCTCCAGCCTTTCCTTCATCACCTTGTTTATCCACACTGATGACCACACAATGCCCTTCTGTTCTTCTTTACCAGTCTCCCTGTTCTGAAACACTACCCAAAACTGCCCCGGTCCTTTAAAGCTGGTGATGGAGTGATTGCATTTTAACTGAAAGTCATTCATACAAAAATATGTCAGACCAAGAGCTGCGTGTTTAACTCTCCTCAGTATTTAAAGTCCTTTGTGAAAAAGACTTCAAATATAATCAAGGAGAAAGGTGGTGGGGAAAAATTGCAGAGCAGAAAGAAATCCATGGAATTTGACGCAGTCTCCTGGGCTGAGTGTGAATCAAACTAGCTTTGGACTTTTCGGGGAGCACTGCTAGAAAATAGGGTGAGCAAGAATCTGGCCTTCGCCCCTTTCTCTCTCTCTCTGAAAGGTGAGAGGGGCTGAGAGTTTCATAATCCTAACATCCAGGTTTTAGTGCACTTCGGCTGCGTCTGTGCTAAGTCACTTCAGTCACACATGACTCTTTGTGACCCATGGACTGTATCCTTCCAGTCTCCTCTGTCCATGGATTCTCCAGGCTAGATCACTGGAGTGGGTTGCCATTTCCTTCTCCAGGGGATCTTTCCCACCAGGGATTGAATCCACATCTCTTAAGTCTCTTGCATTGACAGGCGAGTTCTTTACCACTAGCGCTACCTGGGAGCTTGGGTTAATCTGTGTAAAGAAAAAAAGAAGAATGCTCCAAAGTTCTATCACCTATTGAGAAAATAGCATATTTGGGAGTTCCATGAAAATCTATTTTCTTTCTTTCCTGTGTGTGTGTGGGGGTGGGGGGGGGCGGGGAAGCAATTATCTATCCCTCTCAAATCTATTGCCTAGAAACCAACTAATGTTATTTTTTTTTTAACTTTTTAAAATTTTGTATTGGGTTATAGCCAGTAAACAATGTTGTGATAATTTCAGTTGAACAGCAAAGGGACTCAGTCATACATATACATGTATGCATTCTCCCCCAAACTCCCCTCCCATCCAGGCTGCCATATAACATTGAGCAGAGTACCCTGGTGGAGTAGGTCCTTGTTGGTTATCCATTTTAAATGTAGCAGCGCGTACATATTCATCCCAAACTCCCTAACTATCCCTTCCCCCTAGCAACCATAAGTTCATTCCTCTAAGTCTGTGAGTCTCTGTTTTGTAAGTAAGTTCATTTGGTAGTTCAGACGGTAAAGGATCTGCCTGCAATGCAGGAGATACAGGTCAATCCCTGGGTTGGGACGATCCCCTAAAGAAGGAAATGGCAATCTGCTTCAGTTTTCTTGTCTGGAGAATCCCATGGACAGAAGAACATGGCAGGCTATAGTCCATGGTTGCAGAGTCAGGCGCGACTGAGCGCATGCGCACACACAGTCACACAGTCTTGATGTAGAGAAAAGGAGATGGAGTGAGTTAAGAAGAAGGAACAAGAGGAGGACAGTTAAGCTAAGCTCTGCAGGAAAGGGGAATGGGAGGCGGCATCTGAACTAGAGGACAGCATGGCAAAAGGACCAAAATCAACTTTTAACATAGTGGAGGGGAGGTTTAGTAAGAGGCTGAAATTTGGACAAATTTAGCAGGAAACACCAACAAGATCTGCTGATGGAGAGGACATGTTCTGAAAATGGTTTCATTTCTTCAAGGCAATGGTATTTGGAAACATGGTTTTTCCAGTGGTCATGTATGGATGTGAGAGTTGGACTATAAGGAAAGCTGAGCACCGAAGAATTTATGCTTTTGAACTGTGGTGTTGGAGAAGACTCTTGAGAGTCCCTTGGACTGCAAGGAGATCCAACCAGTCCATCCTAAAGGAGATCAGTCCTGGGTGTTCATTGGAAGGACTGATGCTGAAACTGAAACTCCAGTACTTTGGCCACCTCATGCAAAGAGTTGACTCATTGGAAAAGACCCTGATGCTGAGAGGAATTGGGGGCAGGAGGAGAAGGGGACAACAGAGGATGAGATGGTTGGATGGCATCATCGACTTGATGGGCATGAGTTTGAGTAAACTCCAGGAGTTGGTGATGGACAGGGAGGCCTGGCATGCTGTGATTCATGCGGTCGCAAAGAGTTGGACATGACTCAGCGACTGAACTGAACTGAACTGAACTGAGTTTCATTTTCCATATAAGCCAAATCCATGAAATTATCTATGAACACACGTATAAAATCTACATTCTCGCTAGGAACAGAAACAGATGGCTAAATTTTTCCTTTTGCCAAAGAACCCTCAGTCATTTTTGATAAACAGTCCTATCAAATTGGAAATTCTGAATTTCTAGTCTTTGGATGGAGCATTCACATAACCAGTGACTAGGTTAATTTCTGATAGAGAGCTTCTGGTCTCACCAGAAGTTCTTTCCTAAATGCAAGGGCCAGACACAGCCCTTGAGAGCTGTGAAGCTTACAAATTAAAATCACTTCTTACTCCAGGTTTGACTGGCAACTTCTCCTTGAAAAATCATTTACCTTATTACAGCAGTTACTCACGGAAGTCATTCCTAGAGTCTCTTTAAGTAAAGCAGCAGTGTTTATAACTGGCAGCTCATATTTGTTGAACACTTACTGCCAGGACTCTACTGTGCATTACATGGTTTATATTATGTAATATTTATAACAATGCTTGCAGTGAGATAGATCTTCTCCCTTATTTTCCAGATACACAATCTATGGCTCAGAAAAGTTAGGGAACTTACAAAGGTCTCATGGAGTACACAGAGGAGTGGCTGACTCCAGAGACCACATTGCTTATCATTGCATTTTAATGATGCAGGTTCCTAAAAAGCCAATCCCACACAAGGGCAGGATTCAGCAAACCTTTGCTGAATAGATCAAGTATTAAGGGAAAGTTCAATAGCTTTAAGTAAAAACCTGCCCAAGACAGTAAGGAAACAGGAGCAGCAAAGCCAAGTTTTCTACCTTTCTCTCTGATTCCCTTTGCAACTATACCTACAGC